GTGACCTAGTTTTACAACAGACTGCATAAAAATCACCTAGCAAAGCCATTACAAACTAAAATTTCATCCAGAAAGTGTCTTATTTATATTGCTCTATATACACTGAAATGTTAGTACAATATTTACATTCCAATTGATTTATTTTAGAATTACATGGTAAAAATGAGAGAGGACTCCTAAAAGAGGTGTGGTAGTCTGGAAAGGCTGAGAGCCACTTCAATAAAGGACATGAGGGGAGAGGCTCTGGAGAACAGGGCTTCATTTGAGTATAGCAGAAGCTGTGGTCTGATAGGAAAGTGAGACTAGGAATTATAGCCAGATATCCCTTGATACAAAGTTCCCACATAATTCCCAAGGGCAGAGGAGCAATACCCTTTGAAGGGCTCCTGGAAGATGGGGAAGGAAGGGACTGACATTTGTGACAAAGATGTACAGGAATCCATCACAGGGGGATGGAGAGCAGAGATCTAGAACAATTCAAACATGGGCTCAGCCTGTCCTTGCTATGCAGTGCTGTGAAGACTTTCACTATACTGAAAACACTGGAAGGGTAACTAAGCTGAGTCACAAGGACCAGGGAATGATCCTGAAGGGGCTGCTGTGTGTTGCAAAAGAAGCCTTGCTAAAACCCACCACCGAAGAAGACTGTCGGTCAGCAAAAGTAAATCATGCTGTGGAGTCACTGAAGAGCAAAGTAGTTAGTAGACTTCAACAGTGACTGACTGCGGCACTCAGTGTGGGCAACTGTTAAAAGGTGGATCAATAGTAGGAACGGCGAGAGGAGGCCACTACCAGGAATTACAGCAGAAGAGGAAAGAGGATATAGCATGCAGTGTAGAGGACAGGCAAGATCCCAAAAGTCAAGGAGAGAAGGGACAAAATCAGGAGTGAAGAGATATTGTCCTTATTAACACACAGCAGAGACAGACAAGTTCTTGAAGGCTGAGAAGGAAAGAATGGGAGCTGTAAGATGCAAAGCAAACTTTTATAGGGTGAGATTTTTTTAAGTCTAGTTCAGAACTACAGATCTGGACAAGGTTGCTAACTTGCATGAGAAACAGCAAGGGGAAGATCAATAAATCAGGAAGGCCTGCCTGGCAGTGTAATGAAACCTATTACTATTCAATTTTCTCCCCAAGGATGTGGTGGCCAGTCCCTGGACCAGAACATTTAATAATAAACCAGTCAAAACATTAGGCAATGCACAGTGGAGAACAACCCTACACAGAGCGAGGTGTTGGATAAACTAAAGGACTTTTTCATTTCCACTTTCTGATTCTTTCGTACAGAATCAAAATGTGGCACGGCTATTCCTTTTTTGGTTCTGATGCGTCATCTACTGGCCTCTAACAGTAACAACATCATCTTCCTCCCTCTATTCCCATGTCATATTTGAAACCACCTCCAGAAATAGAAAATTAAAAATCAATTCCTTATAAGAACAATCCCCTCCTCCAAATAGAACAGGAAAGTAACTGTGCTTAGTTAGTCTGTATCTCCACATCCTTAAGAAGCTGCATGATATTCATCCCAATGTAAGAAATAGGATTTATTGAGTCAGTGAAAGTGCTCTGACAAAAAAATACCATATAATACACAAATCTATTAAGGGGACTGACATTGAAAGAAAGAATGAGAAAGTTGCCATCAGCATTTACAAATTAACACAGGCATACAGATTTACATGCTTGCCAGGAAGAGACATGGAGTCTAAGTAGAGATTTATAGCGAGATGTGTTGCTCCTCTCCTTTCTACTGCATAACAATAAATAAATGTGGCTTTATGACCCTCTAAAACATGAAAGGGAGATTAGTAAGAGCACAAAGTTCAGCTTTGTCAATCTAACAGAACTTTCTAGACTCAAAGCACTTGTGATAAAACTTCCATTAAGCTGTTATATATTATGCATCCACAATCACATTAGCACACAGATGAGGCAAACTACTATGTCATTAATACAGCTAATACTTTTTTCCCCCCCATAGAAGAAAGGTGTATTGGAAAAATTTAACTATTACTGAGACAATCTCAGAAGTACCACTCAGACACCGTTAAATGTTAAAAGGTCTAAAGTATACAGTGAAATTATACATGTATTCCTCAATCTAGCAGCAACAGCAAACAAACAACAAAACACAGAAATGTATATGGACAGGAAGAACAACAAAAGAAAGTGAGCTTTCTGGGTTTAGTCAAAGCACAGCAGAGTTTTTCTAGAGAACACAGTCAATTACAGTTGGAAAAAAGTGACTTAATGAAGTATGTGCATTGACTGACACTCTCCATCACCCTGCTTATTAAGGATGTCCAGTGATACTTCAAATAAGCATGTGAATTGTTTGCATGATATGTGTACATATAATTGACAGGCAGTCCCTTTATTGGTAGGGCCTTGGGTATTCGGTCACTTTAGAATTTCTCAGTTCACCCCTTCACACAGACCTGTGTGTGATGATCATTTTAAAAAACAAACCAATCCTAATAACGATGTTTCTAGCCCTTATGATTGTGGATGTTACTTTGAAAATGTTAACTAGTGTAAGGGCATGTCTACTCTTAAAATGCTGCAGTGGCGCTGTAGCACTTCAGTGAAGATGCTATTATGCCAATGGGAGACCTTCCTCTGTCAGCGTAGCTAATCCATCTCCTTGAGAGACAGGACACGGATATTCCATGATGAGAGAGTCCTGGGACAGGAAGGCCAGTAGCTGGGAACCCAGCACAGCCTGGCAAGGCTGGTGGTAGTGGGCCAGGGGCCATGGCAGCCCAGCAGCGGGGCTGGTGCTGTAGCAGCTTGATTGGGGCTGTGTGCCATCTGGCAGCAGGGCAGGGGCAGCAGCAGGGCAGCCCAGCAGCAGAGCTGAGGCTTCCGCAACTCAGCAGCCTTGTCAGGGAAACGTGCTGTCCAGGAGAGAGGCTGGTGCTGTGTGCCACTGGGCTAGAGTGGGGCTGGGGAAGGCACCAGCCAGCAGGCAGCCTGCCTAGCCAGAACCAAAGGAGCCGGTGGCGGTGAGGGGCAGTAAGCTGAGGGGCTGGTGGCAGGGTCCTTTCCTGGTCCAAAAAATTCCCTAATTCGGGACTTGTCAGGTCCTGAGGGTTCCAGACCACAAAGGTCCAACCTGTATTAATTCAGACTCTGCATTTTCAATTTACTCAGATTCAGATGCCAAAAACCTTTTTATAAAGGCTCAAAGGGTACGTTTTTTGCTGGAAAGAATAAACATGAAAAAACTCTTCACAGAAAATGATGGCAGGGAATGTGACTATAGCCTTGAAGGAGTACACAGAGAAAGGAGAGATGTATCATGATGTTTACATTCTTAGCAACTTCATTTTTGTGTTTGTCAATTTTTTTCCAGGAAGTTCCAACAGTTCTTAAATGTTTCACAAAGACACCAGAACACTAAAACCAATTCCAGCCATTTCACAAAACTTTGAACTTCTCCCAGATTGTTTCTACTTAAGATTTAGATAAAATCCTGTTATAGAAACATTTCTTTAAAAGATCATTAATTGAAAATGACACTTAATAACCAGAGTATTTACTTTGGTGTCTTTCAATTGTTTGTTATAAATACTTGCAAAAAGCTTGCCAGAACAACTAAACAGAAGTAACTTTACAGATACATTCTTCAATCCAAACACTTCAGAGTTATTATACTCAAGATGCTATTGCAAATAGATTGTTGATGTGAGGCAACGCTCAAGATAAACTGAAGTACGTTATTTTTAAAACTTAAATTGTTGATGTCTGTAGGTCCAGTTCTGCCAATGCTTAAACATAAGCAATTTTGCTCAAGTGAGTGAAAACAACAAACACACAAAGGAGTTTACAGGATAGCGGTATTTTTTTAAAATCACACATCACAGAAGGCTGTGGCTAATGTACAAGAGAGATTCTCAAATGATGAACTAATCTGAAATTCTGCTTGCAAGGCCTTATCTCCTTTTTTGGTGGCTGACTTTTATTAGACTGCAGGATATTCAGCCTGAAGTGGGTTTTCATGAATGTCCAAGGCACAAATTGTAACATAAAATGTAACAGAAGAAACTCTTGTCTCTCTATGATGTATCATGTACAATACAGAAGTCCCCAACTTATGAACAGTTGTGTTCCAAAAGTTTGTATGTTTGTTGTTTGGAACTTGGAGACTGGATTTGATGATCTCTTGAGGTCCCTTCCAGTTGTTTGATTCCATACTAGGAACTAGATTGTGGTTTCCCTGCTGATGTACACATACTAGTGATAGCTCTCAGGCTAGGTCTAGACTGCGGTGTTTTTGCAGAAAAAGATATGCAAAATGTGCTCGACATTTTGCGTAGCTTATTCCACATTTTTGTCCAGAAGAGATTTTTCTGCCATTTGGCCCCATTTAGATGGGGCCAAACAGCAGAAAAGACTCCTCTTTCGGCAACACCCTTATGCTTCATGAAACGAGGTATACAGGGCTCCCTGAAAGAGCACATTTGCTTTTCAACCAAAAGAACTGGAAGAACAAACGCGTTCCTTGGACACAGAGGGGTAACCAAAAGAACTGGAAGAGCAAACGCGTTCCTTGGACACAGAGGGGTTTTTGCAGGATACTAGAGGTATCCCGCAAAGACCCCATAGTCTAGACTTAGCTTCATTGAGCAAGAACAAGTATACACGACAATATAACAGTGATAGCACTGGTGGGTATGTAGTCAGCGTAGCTCAGCCATGCCTCCACTGCCATGCCTTCCGAGCTTCTGTGGCTACACTGCTACTTATACTCCTACTACCTCAGTGACAGCTAGTGTAAATGTCTTTAAGTGAACAGGGGAACCACACCGCTAGCTCATAGCTTTGGGGGCAGGTGTAATACTTGAAACTATTTTTACTAATTTTTAGATTTTACAAGATTAAAGGTAGACTGTCCCTTTAAAGAATACCTAAGTCAGTTGCCGAAGAAAAAAAGATATTAAGATTTACCAGAATAATGCTGTGTTGAAATACTGTAGTGCTAGCATAACTCACCAGTATCATAGTATCTTTTCAGTTCCGTACGCCTAATATCTTTTAGTTGATTATATTTTTTCTTTTTCTTCTCTTCTTCAGTGACACACTCCTCTTTCGCCTCAGCAAATTTGCAGTTGTCTTCAGAACTGATTTGCTCCAAAACGACTTTACTGCCATCATCCTTTCCAACTTGAATTCTGGAAGCAGTGGTCCCATGAGAGTTAGCAGCAGCTGTCTCAGCATTTTGTTTGGCTTGCCTTTTCTTTTTCAATCTAGATAAAAACAAAATTAAAAAGAAGACTGTGATATGTGGTTCCTTACAGTGAGCTGTTTAATTGAGTTGGCCAATCTTGTTTCTGCAAATAAATGTGTTACATGGTGACTCGCTACAACCTCTCTCACACATATACATCACTTCTCAGTTATCTTTAGGGCCCTGTATGGATACCTATGCCTACCTGAGGATGCAGATAGCTGTGGACAGAAGTCGGTATACGCTGATACCCATAGCTCTATTCTCAGGAGACGCTGCAGCCAAAAGAGCGGAGCACAGTGCCGCCCAGGAGCCAATGCCATGAACTGGCAGCACCTTCCAGCTGTGCAATTGTACTTCTCTCGGCCGCACCCCCAGCAGGGCTGTACAATCCCAAACAAGAGATGCAGATGGGGGTGGAGCTGTGAGGAGCTGCCGCCACAGGACACTGGCTCCTGGAATTAGCGGTACCCTGCTCCTCTCCTTTGGCTGCTACATCTTCTGCATGGGCAGTTGGCCCCCACCTCCGCCCCTTCTGCTGAGGCCCCGTCCCTCATGGGCAGGTAGGGCAATGGACCACATGCACACTCCTCCATCCCAACTATAGGGAGAGGAGCAGGTAGGTGCACGCTTGCCCCAGCCTCCCCAACCCCAGAAGAGGGTGGAAAGCATAAGGCATGGTCCCAGCCTCTCCAGCCCCAGAGAGCCAGGGAAGGAAAGAGGGTGCACCATGAGGCCTGGCCCAGCCTTTTCAGCCCCGGACCATGGGGAGGGCAGGCACTGGGGGCAGCAACACTCTGCCCCCAGAACACATACAACAGACATTTCTGGGGGCAGAGTGTGGGAGGAGCCATTCCTGGTGGTTTGGGAAGGCAAAGGCTTTCCCACCTAGCATACCGGATGCCAATGGTTTTCTACGAGTAGAGCTCTGTGGATCAACAGACACCGATTTCTATCCGTGGATACTGGCATCTATGGGTTTGTATCCACGCAAGACTCTGGTTACATCAACAGCATACTAATTAAGCCAGTGTGATCTTAGGATATATTTTTCAATTAATCATCATATTGTTTTGAGGGCATTTTTGCTAGAACTTTAAACAAAAAAATCAGTGTAAGAAAATAAAGTTCTTGTTCACATTCTCTGTTTTCACAGAACAATGTGCTCTTTTCTATGCACAGTCATAGCTAAGTAATGGGGATAAAGCAAAGCGTGGAGTAATGTTTTCAAGATGAAATATGGGATAAAAATCAAGTTATTCCAGGTCCAAATGTATTATAATACAACAGCTGAAGTTATAATTTCACAGCTGACTGCCTCTGTTTAACGAGCTAGCTTGTTTTGATATAAACTTGTCATTTATTTCCATTTTGTTCAAGGTTATTTATCAGCAGCCACTTATAATCTGTTCTACAAAGAAAGAACATTATACCACCCTCACCACCATAGTTTCTGAATGCCTTCAAGTACTGCCTTAAACAATATAACTATGGTTCTGTCAGGACTGTTCACATAGGGCTGTTCTCAAGCTGTCTGTTACTACAAAAAACAAAACAAAACCCAAAAGACATAATGCCCTGCTTGTAACGCTACAAAACCATTTATCACAAGAGATTTTTCAAAATGCCTTAAAATATCCCAAAGAGAGAGATGAGTGCCAGGTGTTACAGCTGCTGTTTCATTTGCCATCTTTGCATTTAGTTTCAATAAGAACAGGGCCTCTGCTTAATCTTTGTGACCATCTCTCAGTTATCAATGGTAATGTAATTCTTACAACAGCCCTCTGTTACCACTGGTTTACAAATCACTGACACAAACTGTACGAACAGAAAAACAACAAACTTCAATGATCCTTGCTCCTGATAGGACAGTAATAGCTTTTCAGTTACAGAAATATTAAGGAGCATGCTACATGTTGTTCTCCGCAGCTGATAATCATTCTGTTTGTGCACTGAGAGAAGATAGCCATAAAACTACAACTAATAAGGATCTATTACAGTTATTAAAATGTTACATGAGCTTATATAAATGGAATAGGATGGGAAGGGAAAACCCAAACAAGGCAACAATCATATCTCAAGGCAAAAGAGCTATAGTTCCATCAGATACATTTATAAGATTGCAATACATTTGGCCTGTATTTTGCAAGCTTATAATATTAATGCACATTTCCTTGCTCAGATTTTAAAATAATAAATATCCAGGCTGGAGGCCCAAGATTTTCAGACGCCTCCATTTATGCTGCCCAGGTTGACACATTTTAAAGAGGCCCCAACATAGTATGCCCCACTGGTGAAAGATTGAGCAGAGGAAAGGGTTTTGTATTCATGAGTGGCAGAGCATGTCTGCCAGAAGTTTTATAGTGACGAGGGTGACTCCATGTTTGAGGCACTGGTTTCAGAGGTGTATGGCCTCCACACAGAGGGAGGAGGACCTTATGCTGCCTTATTTGTTTATATATACACACAACTGTTGTCACATTGTCTAAGAGCAATTGTTGTCATATGGTCATACTGTCTGTTGGGATTTGATAAAAGGCATGTGGTCCACAGTTCCAGCATGTTGATGTGCCCCCGTGCTTCCCTGGGTGACCAGAGGCCCTAAGCTGTGTGGCTGTCCAGAGGGATGCCCCACCATTCGAGCATGGTAAGAGTGGTGCGGGGCCTGGGCAGAGTCCATGGGGTGCCAACCAGGACCTTGGATAGGGTACATCGCCATATGAGGGAAGCCAGAATGGAGGTGGGGAGCAGGACTGGCTTGCCCAGCAGGTCCAACTGTGGGTTGTAGACTAAACAGAGCCACAGCTGGAAGCAGTGCACACGCAGGCAGGTAAACAGTATGACTGAGACACAGGCTGCCATGTGGCCAAGGAGGGAAAGAAACCACCAGATGCGCGTACATGAATGGCGACGTAAATTGCATGATGAATGAGGTGAGGATGGTGAATTGGTCAGGCAGGAGAAAGGCTTGGGCTACGATAGACATTCAGTTTGGGGCAGGAGCCACACTTCCCCACCCCTCTCGACACAAGGAAATAAGAGGAGCTGAAACTGTGGCCTTGGTAGCAGCACGGGGCATGTTCTATGACACTTGCTGAGGGTGACCATGTCCTGTCAGAGAAGAACACAGTGGGAAGGATCCCCAAGGCCACCAAGAGGTGGGCCACAAGGAGGAAGAGGGGAACTCTTACCAAGGACCCCTGGTGAACAATGTGCAGCTCCAAGTGGTCAGTAGTGATCTTGTCCCAGTTATGGGCAAACAGAGCAAGATGGCTCCTGAAAATGTTCAGAGGTGCCCTGGGAAGGGTGGAGAGAGGTCCATAGATCTTGGCAGAACAGTCAAATGGACTGCTTGGAGGAATGTTGTGAAGAGACAAAAGTGGCAGCGGCAGTGATGGGAGGATGGCAGAGTAGCAGTATTGATATGCGACTTCTCACTTGATCTGGCACGGTTCAGGGAGGCAATGCTGCATGTAGAGGCAGTCCCCATCATGGAACCGAACCATCCGTAAATCCATATGCATGTTTCTTATGTTCAGAGGAGAGCTTCAGCAGTTGTGTCAATACTGCTGGCTCTGTGCAGGAAGGGCCTGGGGTGATGGCCATTGCTCCATTGGAGCCAGATCCAATTGCACATGTGGGCGCATAGCCTCCTGGATCAGGTATTTGTGGAGGCCAAGTCCCTGCCTTTGCTGCTGGCTGGCTGACTTTGGGCAAGTCACTTCACAGCTCTGTGCCTTAGTGCCTCTACCTGAAACATGGTGATAGTGATGCTGACTTCCTTTGTAAAGTGCTTTAAGATCTACTGACACCAAGAGTATGAAAGGGCAAGGTAATAACACTACAATAAACAGCTTTAAACAGAAATAAGAGCATATGCATAGAGGTTTGCACCACTTCAAGCATATGAAAAATTACACACAGACAAGGAAACTCCAGACCCAAGGTGAAGAAGAGCTAAAAAATAAATGATTTATCCTCACTACAACCTAAGAGTCAAACCCTGCAATGAGCTCTACAAAGACATGTCCCATGGTGTATCATTAAAGTGTGCTCATTTATAAGCAATAAATTCAGTGGGATTCCATAACGATGCAAGGGTCTGCTTGCATGATACTTGTTGCAGAACTAAGACCTAATTATGTACCAAAACAAATTCAATAAATCCACAGAGGTATGTAACAAGTAGTTTAGAGCTGAACTACATACACATGGGGGCAGAAGGAAAAATGTTTTGTATACACTAAAAACACTTTTGGAAAACAAGGCTTGGTAGTCAAAAATAACTACTGTCCTGATCTAAATCTGGTGCAACTGCAGCAGTACACTATGACCAGATTGCAGACATATGGCTATGCTCAGTCTTTAGGTACATTTGTGCAAAGCTACTGTCTATGCAGAAATTACAACCTCTTACATCATGAATTGATCTTGGCTCCAGACTCGACATGACTTGCATTTTCTGCTCTGGAGGAGGTGATGACCTTTATCTGTGATAAGTACAACTAGCAACAACCCACTAATGGGTCATCTACAATTCAAACCCACCAGGGCCTTTATTTTCAGATTCACAGTTGATTTTTATCCAAACCAGATAAGCAAGTTTTGAACAGCATATGGGCAGTATCAAAACTAAGAAAACAGAGATGGAAAATTACAGAATTGGTAATCTACCAACCTACTTTTAAAAAAACCTCAACACGTACAAACGATCTTCAGAAACAGTTTCACATAAAGGATACTATAAACAGCTTCCCCCACTTAATACATTTTCTCAAAATATTTTGTGTCCTTATTTAGATAGACTATAGTTAATAAAAGAGAAAAAACACAAACCAAAGATTGTCAGGTCTGTTCTACAAGTGGTAGCAATGGCGAAAGCAGTAACATGAATACAGGCTTAATGTGTTTTTCATCTCCACATATGAGTTCTGAGCACTGTTGCCCAGAAACTGTAGTGCAAGTGCATGGTTTGTACGATTCTGGCAGATACCTTCCTGGGCAAATGGGACAGGAGAG